ATACAAAGATTTAGTTTGGAAGTTTTGCTTTACCTGTAGAAAACTTATTACTAACGGCATAGGACACCCTATTTTTTTCGGTGATGTTGTATACCGAGCCCGTAAATTTAGATACGATCCGGTTAAACGTATCGATCCTTTAGATAAACTTATTCCGAAAGGTTACAAATTTAACACTGTAATTAGATCTTTGAATATTGTATTATTGGTGTCACAGGGTAAATTGCTACTTGGGTTGTATTAAATAGGGCATAGATATTGTGACGATATATGTTTCAAACCAACTTTTATTCACACTGAAAATACATAATTATAAAGTATTTATTTCAAATTTAACTTGAAGTTTCCTAGGAATTGAACTGTGAATTTGATCAGAAAAACACGCATAATAAAGCCTACAAATTTAAATGTGCTTACCTAAAAATAGGGGAAACGTTATTTAAACCATTGCCGTGACGTCAGCCTATTCATTTACCGTGGTTTCTTTTTCTAGAATCAACACTTCCTAAATCTGTCTTTGAAATGGACTCACCGAGTTAGATTGTACCTTTATATATACATAATAGACAATCGTATAGTATAAGTTGGTAGCCGCGAGGTTAAGATCAATGAGTTATATAGTCAAGTTAGAAGTAGAGACTTGTCGGTTAAGGTTCGAATCTCTATTTTCTCTTTGTTGTCCCTATTCTTTAGTCTTTTCCGTTTTTCTTATTTTGTATGTTAATGTGGATATTGTGGTGAGAATAGCGGCTTCCCCCTTTATTTTTGAATTAATATTGTCTATTTCACGTATTTGAAAAGAAAATGATTACATTCAATTTGTCCTTTTTTGTTTTATAAGTATAGTATGATTTCATCTGCTTTTACTACATGTTTTTACAAACGTGTATTCGCAAATCCCTATGCGAGTAAATCGTGATGTGCCTAGAATTAGGTTTCTTGCTAGAAATTTCAGCAACATACTTATTATATTTTTTACTTAGAAATAAGTTCGAATAAGTCTTATTCTGTGAGTTAAGGATCATATTCAGATGCATAATAATTTAAAGACAGAAGTGTTCTGTTATATTTGTAATTGTGAACTTTGATTTATTAATGCATCGTTGAACATGATAACATGGTTATTTAAACTCAGGCGGAAACCCAGTTGAAATTAAACAAAAGAAACGGAGCTCTTTGTTAGAGAAGGTTAAAAAGGCCAAGTTGGTAAATTTGAATTGTTTACATTTGTTTCTATGGGCTTTAAAAGTTTAATGAATGTGCCTAATTTAGGATTTTATGAGTCTTATGTATGTGTATATACTTAAATAATGGTATGGAGCTTCGAGATATTTGTAAACTTTTAAATTATAGACAAATTTTCACAAAACAGTCGATAGTGGTATGTGCAAATACATGTGGATCTTTTTTGTACATAAGCATAAATTCCGCCGAAAAAAATTCAAAGGAAAGATAATAAGTTGATCTTTTTAAAGTATTAATTTGCATCTCTGCCCCCGGCGACAGTTTTTTGGGAAAAAAATCCCAAAATGGTCAATAGTTTCATCGAAAAGAGAAAGTCGAGTACACCTTTTTATGTTCAGGCGTGTTTGAGTTTACTATTCTGTCTTGAAAGCGTATTAAAGAAAAATATTTGATACATCATCTCGCTTCAGATTCTATTATTTTTATATATTAAGGCTCTCGGTTGATATAATAGCATTAAAAATTTACAGTTCTAAATAATGAAATATATGGGTCAAGTGAAATACCTTTTAATGAGTCATAACAACAAAGTAGGTGTGTTCGAAGAATAAATTTTTACTAAAAGTACTTGACGACAGACTTTTCAAGTGGATCTTAAAAATGCATAACTTCAAAAAAACTTAATTTTGTGTGTGTGTTATCTAGGGTAATTAGTCTTCAACCGCTGAAGATTTTTAGTCTGCCCTTCCACGAAATATTTTTGAACTTTCAAAAATTCCCACTGACAACCGATCAAATGCATAAAAGTACATTAAATGATGCTCAAAAGCTAATAGATAAATTTTTCTTTTAAAATACAACAAGCATATAAGGATCGTAATGATACTATGTGGATAAATTTATCGGTTTTCAAGAGCTAAATTGACAGCGTGTCATCTCTACAATGGCTTCCATTTTTACGATTATAAAAATAAGGTGGCGTAATGGGGAGATAATTTTGACGAAGTATAATTCTGACTGAACTCACTTAAAATACCTTCTAATTAAGAAAAGGCTTTAATTTTAAATAGACATCAACACAATAGTTTCAGTTAGAGACACAACGGATAAGCGTTGATTCGTGAAAAACAAACCATCCACCTCCGGGCTCATGGTTTCTTTTTCAAGAATCAGCGATTATCCATTGTATAATACATATCCAACAGCTGCATGTTTTACGTGCGTCCTTAAGTGTGAAAACTTCCATTTGTACGAGTACACAGTACAACTAGTACCAGAAAATGTGGCGGGGTTGAATGCATTATTAATTCGTGCAGAATAGTATAGACTAAGTCTTTTTTCGAACTGTCCGTGAATGGATGAATGAATTAATGAATGATAGTAAATATTGTAAACACAACATATAGAATAGTTCTATCATAATAGCTGTACTCTTTTGATAAATTGCTACTGTGACAAAGGTATATATATTAAATTTGTTATCAGTAAATTAAAAGCCAACTAAATAGTATTGCTATACACATATGTACATTCACGGTCCTACAACATATTCTGTCAATACCTATATTTTTGCATTGCACAAGGTCATCTCTGACTGTTAATGACAATTTTACATAACTCCATAGGATGTTAGAGGTGTGTTAACTAAATGATTTTGTAGTCTTAGAAACATGATTTTTTATTAGTTGTTACTGGCTTTGTACTAGCTTTCAGTAACTGCACGTACTTTCAGATCTGTACTTTGTGTCTTTTGTGTTTTTGTTGATTGTTTTTGTGCGTTGTATCGGTCGGTTGAATTAACCTCTTTTCCACTGATTTTTATAGTTTGTTCTTATGTTGTGCTGTTACACCGCTTCCTCAGGTTAGGAGGAAGGTAAGACGCCCACTTAGAGCTAATTTTCTAATGCTTGTAGAGTTAGACTTTGGTTGGCTTGCTTGCTTTGTTTGTATAAACGTTTGCTCAATCATTGTAATTAAGATTGACATCTCCAAACAATTTAGATGAGTTAAACCTGCATACATCATATTTAAATTTGATCGAATGTTAACCTGGAGGTTAAGAACACTACATGAGAAATATTATTCACACACACACACATATATATATATATATATATTTATAATTCGTCTAAACAACAGCCCAACAATGTTAAATCTGTAAATTTTGCGGAAGCAAATTTTTTGTTCTTCCCTGGCCGGGATTCGAACTCATGCTACTGAGATATCGTGGTACCAAATCGCCTGCACTATGCGCTAGACCACTCGACCACCTAGGCTCTAAAAATATAAAGCTTTCGACTCTACAACAGATTTTATCCAGCGGATCACCAACAGTGATGGTGATACAAGGCTGAAAATACATTCTGTATATATAATTCGTCTAAACAACAGCCCAACAATGTTAGATCTGTAAATTTGGGGAAGCAAATTTTTGTTGTAGAGTCGTCACTGGTTCAGACGTACTTATAATGTAATTATTTCTGTGACTGCATCTTACATTAATTTGTAGGATCCTTTACAATAGATAATTCAGCTGATCTGTAACAATTCCATCTTCATGCCTTATATATCATGTACTGTGTAACGACGCTAGATAAAAACTGACGAGGAAAGGTAACACCCGGCCACCGAAAGCTTTATATTTATAGAGCCTAGGTGGTCGAGTGGTCTAGCGCGTCGGGCATAGTGCAAGGCGATTTGGTGCCACGATATCTCAGTAGCATGAGTTCGAATCCCGGCCAGGGAAGAACAAAAAATTTGCTCCCGCAAATTTACAGATCTAACATTGTTGGGCTGTTGTTTAGACGAATTATATATACAGAATGTATTTTCAGCCTTGTATCACCATCACTGCTGGTGATCCGATGGATAAAATCTGTTGTAGAGTCGTCACTGGTTCAGACGTACTAATAATGTAATTATTTCTGTGACTGCATGTTACATTAGTTTGTAGGGTCCTTTACAATAGATAATTCAGCTGATCTGTAACAATTCCATCTTCATGCCTTATATATCATGTACTGTGTTACGACGCTAGATAAAAACTGACGAGGAAAGGTAACACCCGGCCACCGAAAGCTTTATATTTATAGAGCCTATGTGGTTGAGTGGTCTAGCGCGTCGGGCATAGGCGATTTGGTGCCACGATATCTCAGTAGCATGAGTTCGAATCCCGGCCAGGGAAGAACAAAATATTTTCTTCCGCAAGTATATTTTTTTCTGTTTGGTATTAAATTTAAAATACAGATCCATTTTGTTACATCTTGTGATCCGTTTATTTGGCAACCGCCAATGGCAGTCAGCAGGGTTTAAGAACATCCGTTGTTCGACCTGTTAGTCAAATGCGTTTTGTATAAATATACTTTTTCACTTTTTTTGTCTTTCGGAAAATGTTGTTTGTGCTGTATTTAGACCCCTCTACCAAGAAATTTGTTTTGCATGTACACATATAAAAAAAATGCGGTTTATATATAAGTCTAAATTGAAAACAACGTTCAAACCTATGATTGCGTTGGATAAAAACAGCAATTTTTATACATGTGCATGCAAAACAAATTTCGGTATGCTATGCGTTTTGCTCAATGTTGAAAGCCGTAAGATGACCCATAGTTGCTACTAATTTAGTCTCCAGTGGAGAGTTGTCTCATTTGCAATCATACCACATCGTCGTACCTTTATACAAAGTAAAGCTAAACCCGACTAAGCAATCGACGCATTATATTAAGGAATTTATTTGAACACATTTTAACTGTTGTTCGCATGGTATCCCATTGTTGGCAAGTTTAAGGTACCTGTTATTGTTTTATCTAGAAGAATTAAAATTTCTGCAAAAATGCTTTTTTATTTTTCAAACTAGTTTATCAAAACATAAAAGAAAACAGTACAGAAGATGAGAAGTACAGAATAATTCGGCTTGTAACCTGTATTTGACCAAAGATTGGTTTTACTATTGCAATAATCTTCTTGGCACGTCTGAGAACAAACAATTTGTTTTGGATCTGTATTACAACTTCCTTCTACATACTTTTTCATACATCTTCTAATCATCGAAGTAATGGATTTGGTATCTAAAGAAAAAACAATTTTTTAGGTATATTTAAAATTTTACTGAATGAGGTACAGAAAGGAAGAGGAAGATACCAAGGTGACATTTAAAAACTCATGATTCAAGGAGAAACTGACAACGACATTGCCAAGGTGCTTCGGAAAGATAACTAGTGGCACCCGTCGTGCTGGTAAGTGCACATTCGGTGATAAGTCTTATTTAGTGATGTCACAATTGAGGAAAAGAGGACGAGATTGTGGTATCGATAATTGGGGCAGATTCATGGTGATCTGATACATAGATATTCTATAACTGTCAATAAAAAAATATACAAATTCGTATTAGGGACATAATAGGGCGATATTTCGATTTTTTTCTGTTGTTTTTTTGTTGTTGTTATCTTTGTTTATGTCGAAATATTACATATTTAAAATCTTTAATTTTTTACTTTTCAACAATATAAAATTTATCATGTTAAACATGAAATTTTGGCTATTCATAAAAAGTCACTACAACACGCAAGAATTTACTGGCCCAAGATCCATTAAATTGAAATACATATGTTTTTCTCCTTTCCCGTCCTCTAAAAGTAGCAAAGGTTTCCTTTTAATACCACGTATTTGTAAAGAATATTTCTTTTAGATGTACATATAATGTATACAAATTGTGTAAATGTTTAGGGTTAATAAGTCGACCTTAAAACCAGTAAGTTGTGATTTTTAAAGTTCATTATAAAAGACCATAAAACAACTGTTACGATGACGAACAGCAATGAAAGCACTTCATCTTTGCAGCATTAGTCATTTCTTAAAATCTCATGCCCTGAGTACATTCATTCCATATTTTTTCCCTTTTAGAATGACTTATGCCAAAACACCCGAAAATACAGGAAAGCATATTGTTTAAAACAATCAAAGGTGTTTAAAAAATTCCGGCATCGAATTCAACAACAAGTTTACACGACGTTGCAAATATTATCCGCAAATCTTTTTGCTTATTAGTTTGTTTTATATGAACTCATTGCATGAATTAATGGCTGTATCTTTTAAAACTTTATTATTTTTTTATTATTATGTTTTTATTCATATAACTTATATTACCAATTTTTACATTTTTTTTCTTTTGTTTTTACATTATACATTTTTTTTCAATATTTCAATTCTATTAATTTTTTGAACTTATTAAGATAAACACAATATTGCCTGTATATTTCAGGTGTGAGTAAGTACCAAGGAGCACATCGTTAGTGAGCGCACCTTTTGAAGGTATCTGTAGAGGTGTTTTTGGTTATGCAACAGGATAATTGTCAAAGTCTATATAGGTTTGTCAAAAGAAAGAAAATGTGTAGCTGTCTTTATTGCATTGGATTTGTCTGTATGAGTCTTTATGGGAAGATCTTGTCATATATCGACTCTGATGTAATAAATTATACTATAGAATGGCAATATTTTTATTTATTATTTTATGTTTGTCCCATGTCTTCACTTAGATTCTTGTCTATAAATATTATCATTAAACATCCTTGAAATAACTGATAGACATAAATTCGCATTCGTCATTTGATCTATCGGCCAAGAACCCGTTGATTTAAAAGTAATTGTAACGAAAATTATTTCGTAAACCACGGTATCAACTGGTCATACAATGCCATCACGTTAATAGAATAGGAAAAGTGAACTACACTTTTCAATATGTTTAAAAGTAAGCATAACAACTTAAAAGAATTTACTTTGGTATTTAAAATTTCGAGTAAGGATGGAGGAAAGCCTTTTTAGGAGGTGCACAAATGTGTGACAATTTTATTCCGCAGAAACGAAATTTAAAAATCTCGTCATATAGATAAAAATATAATTTCCCTTATGAAGTAAACGAAACCTAAATTGTTTTTCCTTTGTCATGCTATCATTAAACATTACTCAAAAAGATTTTTTACATTGGGAAATGTTTATTTCTTTAAATGTACTCACTTTTATCATATACTATGTTACTATAGCAGTATCCATCTGAACAATTCTTGGCCAAATTTCTATCATTAGCATTGACACAGCTTTCCATGGGAAATTTTGTAGAATGACTACATGAATAACAGTAATTCCAGGTAGCAGAAGCTGGATAAATAAAGTATTAAAATCATTATAGGTTGTAATGCTGAAATGTTCACGTACAAATAATGTATATTCATATTGAAACTTCTGAACATTGACTAGACATGCCTTCATTTGTGCTTCGCCAAATCGGAGCATCACCACTCTCTTTTTACCAATAAAAAGAAAGATAATATACCAAAGGGACAATAAAAAATATTTAAGACGAGGAAAACAGACAAAAACCATGGCTAAAAATAAATACGATGAAAAGACATACACCATTTAATATACCATTTTTCAGGAAACTAAATACAGTCTGAGCAACACAAACCCTACCAAATGATTGATTGATTGATGGATTGTTGCTGTTTATTGCCACTTTTAAAAATCTTCACTATATCACTGCGACAGGAAGCCGAATTTACCGGAGAAAACCGGGAAGTAAACTTGCAATCCTAGTCAATTAAGGTCCGAGTCCAGCGCACAAGCCACGAGTGGGGTTCGTCTTCACATACTCAATGTTGACAAACTAGTGATCACCGTAGAATAACTACTTAGATCACTCCGCCCAAGTGAAAATGACACTATAGATTTGGTGCGTCCGGAGCGCTTTTCTGAATTCACCTTCACCAAAAAACGCTCAAACCCCCCCAAAAATTGAAAGCCACTGATGTATAAGTACTTGCCTACGTGAGAATATAAAAACGAATAGCCAAGTCTATCCAAAAGTCAACTTCGCCTGAGGGATTTTGCAGCTTAATTTCTAAATTATTTCTGACTTTATCATCTGTGAATTCTAGCACTTTGTATTGAGCTGATGATACCCTCGGGGATTATTTGTCCATCAGCAGCAGCATCAACCCAGTGCTAGAAAAAAATAGGAAGACAATTCCAAGGGGACATTTAGTGCTCATAAGTCGAGATAAACGGACATCGCAATGGCAAAAACCCGAAATACGATGAAGGGACAAACAAATTCACAAATCACTACATAGAAAACTAAAGACTGAACAACAAGAACACCAAACAAACATTGGATCGATCTCATGTGCTCAGGAAGGGAAAGCAGATCCTTTTTTGTACCTTAAAATGGGTTGTTAATACTAAATAAAAGCAAATTGGCTATGAAGTAGGTCAATTTCCAATTAATTTTATTCACTAGGGTAATTTAAACAAAAAGTCTTAATTTTTACTAAAATTAACAATATCACAGCTTCAAGCAGGTTTCAGATCTTGACCTGGTGAGTGAAATAATTCAGGGGAGATCGATAATACCCCAGACAAAAGAAAAAGTATGTTAAGAAACGCTCTTTAATTAAGACGACGGAATTGCATTTCTTGATAAAGCTAGGTATATATAGTAAATAATCATCAAAGAAGCAACTTGATTTAGAGAAACATTAAATAGATTGGCTAAATCAATGTTTTTTCCATATTTTTGAATGTTAAACATCTCTTATTTGGCGTCTTTGGGATTAACACATTAATAAAAGAAAAAAATGAAATACCTGTTTGCCTCAACTGGATTGCAGTATAAACGATATTACCTTTAGAAATGTGTATAAGTTTTTTAAATGACATATTGACAATCTATTGAATTTCTGCTTGTGGTATTTGTATTTTTTATATCATGATAAATGATTAGGTAATGATGGGGGATGCCCTTAATTTCCAAGTTACTACACTGATTAAATGGTAGTAAATATGGCGGTGACGGGCATGTTTATCAATGTGTACGAGGTCTTCCACAACAGATACTTGTCCATTCTAATATTAAATAGATACTTTCGAATCTACAAAATACTATACAGAAAACGAATGGTTTGAACAACCGCGGGAAATCGAATTGAGTCTAGGTACTCAATTAAGATTGCCGGTTTCTGCTCCTTTAGTAGCGCACATGCTTTTTTTTTTTGGTATTATGTTGAAAGATTTAATGAATTAGAAAGATAAGAGAGGGAGAAAACTCCTAAGTTGATCCTCTATTTGAATACCATACCTCTAATTGATTTCTATGAAAAATACTGATCAAGATAAAACGCATGTTCATGTCTGCATCGATGTTCTGAGTTTGTAATACCCAAAGGATTAAAAATACACAACAGAAGTATTAAATTAAAGGTATTTATTATAGTTACGGTACTAGTCTTGATGCAAGTTATGTGCTTTTCGATGCATGTAAAATATTTTAGACCAAAATGTTTCGATCCCGAGACTTAAAACATTACTTAAAACCTTTACACATTTCTTTCATCGATACAAAGATTGTGTTTGGAAGTTTTGCTGTACCTGTAGAAAACTTATTACTTACTGGATAGCACATCCTAATTTTTACAGTGATGTTGTTTACCGAGCTCATGAATTTAGATCAATCCTGGTAAACGTGTCGATACTTTAAATAAACTTAGTCTAAAAGGTTACCAATTGAACACTCTAGTTAGATCTTTGAATGTTGTTTTGTCGGTATAAATTTTGAATTTGTTATCAATAAATTAAAACCCAACTAAATATTATTGCGATACACATATGTACATTCACAGTCCTACAATACATTCTGTCGATACCTATATTCTGGCATTGCACAAGGCCATGTTTATCTCTGACCAGATGTCTTTACACTAAATCCCTTGTAGATTGGATGTATACTGATTGACATTTTAGTCTTAGATACATGATATTTTTAAAAATTGTTAATGGCTTTTAACTAGCTTCCATTAACTGCAAGTACTCTCAGATCTGTAATTTGTGTTTTTTGTTAAATAGTTTTGTGTTTGTGTAGATCTGATAAGTTAAACTCTTTTCAACAGATTTTTATAGCTTGTTCTAATGTTGTGTTGTTACACCACTGTCCCATGTTAGGGGAGGGTTAGGCGCTTGCTAGCATGTTTAACCTGGCCACTTTCTGTGTGTTCCTGTCTCAAGTTAGGAGCCTGTAATTCAGTGGTTGTCGTTTGCTGCTGTATATCATGTTTGTTGCTTTTCGTTTATTGATTTTTACATGAATCAGGGCGTTAGATTTCTCGTTTGAATTGTTTTACAATTGTCATTTCGGGGCCTTTTATAGAATTCTATGCGTTACGGTGTTTGCTCATTGTTAAAGGTCTAACGGTGACCTATAGTTGCTTATTTCATTTGGTATCTAATGGATAGATGTCTCATTGGCAATCATACCACATCTTTTTATTTTCATACAAAATAAAACTAAACCTCACTAACAGTGACCTATAGTTGTTAACTTCTATGTCATTTGGTCTCTGGTGGAGAGTTGTATCATTGGCAATTATACTACATCTTCTTATGTTTATAAGCAGTCGGTGCACTATACTATGGGGTTTATTTTTCGGAAGAAATTTCTCTGAACACATTAAGACAGTTATTTGCAAGGTACCCCATAGTTGGCAAGTTTTAAGTACCTGATTTATCCTGCTTGTAACCTGTATTTGACAAAAGATTTGTTTTATTATTGCAATAATCTTCTTGGCACGTCTGAGAACAAACAATTTGTTTTGAATCTGTATTACAACCCCCTTCTACATACTTTTGCATACATCTTCTGAGCATCGAAGTAATGGATTTGTTATCTGAAAAAAAATGTTATTATATTTTGCAGTAACCCTCAAAGACACATAGGTTCCACGCATTTTTTTATACAAACAATTTTTAGATGTATTGAAAATTTTACAGAATGAGATACAAAAAAAAGTGGAAGATACCGAGGGAACATTAAAAACTCACGAGTCAAGAGAAACTGACAACATTGCCAAAAAAAAGAAAGACTACGTAAAGATAAACAAGTTCACAAAACTTTACTAATAAAACAAAATACTGAACAACATGAACTCTATCATCTTGGGGATGATCTCAGTTGCTTCGAAAGTGTAGGCAGATCCTTCTCCATTATTGACACCCGTCGTGTTAATATGGTAAATACAAATTCGGTGATAAGTCTAATTTAGCGATCTCGCAATCGAAGAAAAGAGGACGAGATTGTGGTATCGACAATTGAGACAGATACCTGGGCATCAGAGACACAGATATTATATAACTGTTAATATAAAAAAATACAAATTCGTATTAGGGACATATTGAAAAATAAGATAACCAATTTTAAAAAATCGATATTTCGATTTTTTTTTTTTTTTTTTTTTTTTTATCTTCTGTGTTTAAGTCGAAATCTTGCATATTTGAAATATTTAATGTTTTACTTTTGAACAATATGAAATTTCTCACCTTTAATGAAATGATGGCTATTAAAAAGCCACTTTAGAACAAGCAAGAATTTTCTTACCCAAGATCCCTTAAATACATATGTTTTTTTTCTGTTTTCCCGACCACTAAAAGAATTAAAGGTTTCCGTTTAATACAACGTATTTGTTAGGAATATTTCTTTTAAACATTTTCACAAAGTGTTTAAATTTTTAGGGTTAATAATTTGACCCTAAACATGCAGTAAGATGTTATTTTTCAAGTTCGTCATAAAAGACCATAACACAACTGTCACGATGACGAACAGCAATGAAAGCTCTTCGTCTTTGCTGTATTAGTTATTTCTTAAAATCTTATGCCATGAGTACATTCATTCCATGTTTTTTTTCTTTTCCTATTAGAATGAATTATGCCAAAATACAGGAAAATACAGGAAAGCATCTTGTTTAAAACAATTTTTTAACATTATTCTTTACATACATCCTTTTCGATGTCATAAAAAATGCAAACCTCGGTAACAGAAAATCACGAACTTACACCCAGCGCATGCGTGGTAACTATTTCCGAATTTAATAAATTTTATCAAAATAAATATTTATCAAATTTAGAATGTTTATTATCTTATTTCATTGTTATTATTTTAGTCATATATAATTTATATTATCTAATTTTACATTATTTTTCTTTAATTTTTACACTATAGATTTTTTCTTTTCTTTTCTATATTTCATTCTTTATTTTTTATATATTTCAGGTGTGAGTAGGTATCAAGAGGCACATCGTTAGTGAGTGCACCTCTTGAAGGTTTCTGTAGAGGAGTCTTCACTTTAGATGCCTGTCTCGAGAGATCATCATTGAGCATCCATGAAATAAGTGATAGAATTGAATTTGCATATGGGCCACGAGTTCGTTGATTAAAAAGTAATTGTAACGTAATTTTCGTAAACCACGGTATCAACTGGGCATACGATACCATCACGATAATAGAATAGGGAAAGTGAATAGCATTTTTTCAATATTCTTTAACGCAATATAAAAAACTTAAACAACTTACTTTGGTATTTAAAGTTTCGAATCCCCTAAACTCTTGAAGTGGTCCATTAAATGTATTATTAACCGCCGTTGATCTAACATTACGTTTTATTGCAGTAGTATCAACACAGTAGTTGCAATTAAGTCATAAAAGCGACTTATCATGCGTTCTTTTTTTTCTGGTGGGAAGGAGGATAGCCTTTGCAAGGTTCACAAATGTGAAAAAAAAATATACGGCAGAAACGAAATATTTCTGCAATTTCAATCTTATCATATACGTAAGAATATAATTTCCCTGATGAAGTAAACGAAACCTAAATCATATTTCTTTTATCATGTTGTCATGATTGAACACTTTACTATCATCAAACATTACTGACATGGATTTGTTTTCATTACTTTAAATGTACTCACTTACTTTTATCATACACTATGTTACTATAGCAGTATCCATCCGAACAATTACTAGCCAAATGTCTATCATTAGCATTGACACAGCTGTCCATGGGAAATTCTGTAGAATGACTACATGAATAACAGTAATGCCAGGTAGCAGAAGCTTGATAAATAAAGTATTAGAATCATTATAGGTTGTTACATCCTGCTGAAACATTCACATACAAATAGTGTATATTTATATTGAAACTTCTGAACATTCTTGGAACATGTTTTCATTGTACCTTGCAAAATTGTGTTTCGCCACTCTCTGATTACCAATAAAAACGAAACATAATATACCAAGGGGACAATAAAACAAGATAAGACAAAGAAAAAAAGACAATGCCAAAGACGAACAAAATTATATGTACCATTGGACCGACAAAACGATTGCTTGCTTTAATGTTTGATTGATTGATTAATTGTTGGTGTTTATTGCCACAGCTAATACAATAGACTCTATCAGGTTTTTATTGGTGGAGGAAGCCAGAGTATCCGGAGAAAATTAACGACCATAAGCCTAGAAAACTTTCAAACCTTGTAAATTTTGGTTTGAGTCGAGTTCACCGGTTACGAGAGGGTTCAAACTTACAAAATTAGAGCTGACAATCTAATTATCATTGTAGATGAACTACTTAGACCACTTGGCCATAGTTTTCTTGATTATTCCTTAATTCATCAACGGAGAATTTCAGCACTTAGTACTGAACTGATGATATTCTCGGGAACTAGTAGTCCACAGGCAGCAGCATCTATCCAGCACTAAAAAAAGAGACGGAAGATACCAAAGGGATATTAAAACTCCTAAGACAAAAGAAACTGACACCGTCATGGCAAAAAAGGACGACAACGAAAAGACAAACAAGTTCAGAAAAAAAGGTACATAACAAAATATTGTGCGAAAGGAACCCCATCAACAATTTGGATGGTCTTAAGCTGAATCTGCCCAATTCGAAGCATCCGTCGTGTTGCTCAATGTAAGTACACATTCGGTGATGAATTTTTTTCGGTGGTGTCACAATTGGGAGAAAAAAGAAGGGGTTGTGGTTACGACAATCAGAACATGTTCGTGGTCATCTGTGACATAAATATTCCAGAACGGTCCACAAACTCTGGTTGTTGTCCGTAAAACTTTCGAAGGGATGACTTCAACTTCAGTACGTCACCACTTGGAACTCTTGGTTTAATAGCTTCCATGTAAGCACGAACCCTCTGATCATGATAGGAAACTCGAGCTCTGGAATATCGTAGCACATGGGAGATATATACTCCATATGCAGTCGCTGCTTGAATGATGCTACATAGAAATGGAAAGGTCGCAATTGGGAAGTTGAAATTATCCTTTTTGTCGTAAAGTTTTGTTTTCCATCGAGCTTGATTGTGAATAGAGTTCTAGATGTAAGTCAAAATATGACTTAACTGTATCTATGGTATTATTTATTTCAATTTCGATGGGAAAGGTGAGTTCAACATAATCACTAAATTTTTAATTATTTATAGTGAGAGAACATCAGCTTTATAGCGGAATGTGATGTTAAACGATAATGCTAACTTCCTTCTATTCTTCCTGAGAAGCTTCTGTATGAAGTCTGCCTCATATGAATAAAGGAACAAGTCGATAATAAGAGGAGCATAGTAATGCCGATTGTTTGTTGGAAAGCACGTCCTCCAAACGTAACAAACATGTAGTCAATACTGTTGTCAGGTCATTAAAGATTGCATATTTTGGCTTTAATATTGATTCACTTATAGGGTCTTTGCATCGGAATTAAACACATTTATTCTAAAACCAGTTGATGGCATGACACGGCTTATGTTCTTCTCAGATATTTTATGACGGTATAATACTAAACCCCTAACAGGAGGGATTGTGCCTGATATTCATATGATGAAGACATAATCTTTCAATCAGTTTAATTGAGGTCTGGAGCTGGCATGTCAGTAACTGCTAGTAGTCTGTTGTTATTTATGTATTATTGTCATTTTGTTTATTTTCTTTTGTTTCTTATTCTGACATCGGACTCGGACTTCTCTTATACTGAGTTTTACTATGCGTACTGTTGTGCGTTTGTTTTTTCTACATTGGCTAGAGGTATAGGTGGAAGGTTGAGATCTCAAAAAACATGTTTAACCCCGCCGCATTTTTGCGCCTGTCCCAAGTCAGGAGCCTCTGGCCTTTGTTAGTCTTGTATCATTTTTAATTTTAGTTTCCTGTGTATAATTTGGAGTTTAGTATGACGTCCATTATCACTGAACTAGTATACATATTTGTTTAGGGGCCAGCTGAAAGACGCCTCCGGGTGCGGGATTTTCTCGCTGCATTGAAGACCCATTGGTGGCATTCGGCTGTTGTCTGCTCTATGGTCGGGTTGTTGTCTCTTTGACACATTCCCCATTTCCATTTTCAATTTTAATCAACAAATCAGCATCTTGATCATGCCAGTTTTAGAGAACTTTTTGTTATAATCAGAGTGATTTTTGTTTTACAAAGTATGATCTAACCCTTCTTAAAACAAGATATTTGTATCTACGGTAGCCTTTCTTTGTAATGAAAGAAATAGAACAAATTCTTTCGAAATTATGTTTTACTGTTGCGAGAGGAAAGAGTCTGAGATTGTATGTTATCTAACAGATCTTCTAAATTTTTGAGTATCCACATCTGATTCACATTTCCTCTACAGTAGGTAGCAACACAGTAACGTTGAAGCTCCACTTGAATGATAGCTGATAAAATTTATGCTATTCGTGGTTTCGTGGTGCGCGTGGTAGATCGAGCAATATAACGTTATGTGTGGACACTTATATAATTTTGATATCAAATGCAGTGAAGGAAGATCCAGTTCTTCATCTTTGGTTGAAATTCCAAAGGAACAAAGAACAAATTTTTCATGATTTTCTCTACGTGTCATGGAAGTTTTATTGAGTTTTTGAGTGAATTACCAATACCTAATTCCGTTATCCAGTAGTTTATGTAATTCAATTTATCTGTGCGGACAACAACAACAAGATTGTCCTTGAAATGAAAATGAAATTCTATAGACTTTGTGTGTCCGAAGTGCTTATCTAGCTTTCTTCACACCGACTCCAAAAATATATGGTTGCTAGGCACTTTTTGATAAGGGAAAAAAACTGCCTCCGATCTGCATGAGATCCCTTACGGGTGACTTTTCCCGTGATCATATGTATTCAATCACCCATCAGACCCCATCGCTTTTTAAGCTAGAAGATGTGGTATGATTATCAATGAGACAACTCTGCAGCAGAGACCAACATGACGTAATAAGCATGTGTACTGATTGATATTTTAGTCTTAGATGCATGATTTTTTTATTAGTTGTTATTGACTTTGAACTAGCTTAAACCTTTCAGAAACATTTCAATGAAAAAAATACTAAAAATGAAGTAAAAAATGCTAACAATAATATAGCACTAAGAAGATATAAAATGATTAATGAATACATTTGTTCATCTTTGGATAGTATGGTAGATATTCATGTTGTAATGTTTAACTTAGTTTTTCATTCAGTAATTTTGCCTTAATCATGTCTTATAGGTAACATGATACCAGTTTACATAAACAAAGGAGAAAATGTGAATCCCCAAAATTACAGACCTATTACTAGTACACTGTTATCTTGTTAAAGAAAAGTGGTTACATATATAGTTTGAATGATTCATTTTCTTATTGAAGAACATGAGTTATTGAATGAAAACTAAGTTTGTTTTCGACATGGATACTCAACAAATGACCCCATATTTTCACATTTATGTATTCTTTAAAATTCTCTCTCAATAAGAAAATAAGTATTGTGTTAAAATTAAAACTGACAAATGTTTAAGAATTATACAAAATGTCTAAAATCATATTTCAAACATAACAATGCAACATCAAAAATCATTTTCTTCTGAAGTAAGACAGGGAGAAATTGTATCCCTTGTATTATTTTCATTTTATCTTACTGAATTGTAACCATATTTAGAAACACAAGGTATAAAAAGTGTGGAATCTACCAGCAAAGATACTTCAAGTGAACTTACGGTACAGAATTAAAATAGTGTTGGTTTTATATACAGATGATATCATTTTGAAAGCAGTTTATGTTGAAGATTTACAACTAATGCTTGACAAAAATTTTCACAATACTGTTTGATGTTGGAACTGAAAGTAAATGTAGATAAAACTAAAAGTTAGATTTTTTTCAAAAGGCAGGATGTCAAGAAAATTGAAGAAATACTAAATTCTATTTGAATGATAGAGAACTAAATATAGTTAAAGATTATACATATCTTGGTATGTTTTTGTTGTTGTTTTGTTTTTGTAAAAGATGATCATAGATATAAGAAGATGTGGTATGAGTGCCAATGAGACAACTCTCCATCCAAGTCAAAATTTATAAAAGTAAACCATTATAGGTCACAGTACGGTCTTCAACACGGAGCCTTGGCTCACACCGAACAGTAAGTTATAAAGGCCCCAAAAAATTACTAGTGTAAAACCATTCAAACGGGAATTCCTGTTTACAAGAAGGTATCTTAAAGAACAAGCAACTAAGACTATGTATGGATTATTGAATAAATGTAATTTTGTAAAACTGTATTGCATTTGAAGCAATCAACACCCAACTATATTGTATATAATGAGCTATGAATATTTCCTATATCACTACAAATAAAGATATACATGTTTTTGGTGCAGACTGTTAGGAGGGAAAAATTAATCTTCCTCATTTCTAAATAAATTGGTATGTTTACTACACAGATTATAGTTATGAATCTAAGTAGGATAAACTTGTAAAGAATATTCAAGATGATTGTGGTATGTCAAATATTTGGCAGAATCAAACTGACGTTTCGTCAATATGGATTTCAGAAACTTAAAGGTTAATTTATACAATTTTGGTATTCAGAAATCTTTAAGCTTCCTAAGGCATTGTGCTATAGAATATTCAAAACTCATTTCTGTTTTGAAAAATATATTTCAGAGTTATCACGATATTATATGTACGCCCTTTGTAAATTTAGACAAGGTAGTCACCGATTGCATGTCATAACCGGAAGATGGCGCATTTGCCAAGTAGCTAAAGGGAGTGCTCTCTCTGTGACTTGATGAACATC